GTTTGTCACTCCTGGCCCACAACCAGGAGTTTTATAGTTTTCATTATAGAGAACTTTCACCTTCTTAGTTGAGTTTTACCTAAGTATTTTTTTGTGGTACTGGGGCTTGAACTCAGGGTCTCATGCTTGTTAGACAGGTGCTCTACCACTTGAGCCACTCCACCAGTATTTAAGCATTTTTGATGTTATTATGAATCAGATTGTTTTCCTGATCTCTTTCTAAGCCTGCTCATTACTGGCTTATAAATAAAAAGCTACTGATTTTTGAATATTCATTTTGTACCCTGCTTTTTTGCCTAAAGTCTAATCAGATCTAACACAGTTTTGGTGAAGTCATTGTGGTCTTTAAAAATAGGTCCAATCATCCGTAAGTAGGGATACTTTGACTTCTTCCTTTCCTATTTGTATTTTGTTTCTTTATTTCTATTTCCTTATTTCTCTAGCTAAAGTCTAATCAGATCTAACACAGTTTTGGTGAAGTCATTGTGGTCTTTAAAAATAGGTCCAATCATCCGTAAGTAGGGATACTTTGACTTCTTCCTTTCCTATTTGTATTTTGTTTCTTTATTTCTATTTCCTTATTTCTCTAGCTAAGAATTCAAGTACCATAATGAATAAGGATGGTAAGAGTGTACACTCTTGCCTTATTTTTGACTTTGGAGGAAATGTTTTCAGTTTTTCCCTTTTTAGTACCATGTTGTCTATATGTTGTGGTACATTCTTTCTAGTCCCAGTTTCTTCAGAGTTTTTCTCCTGAAGCGATGTTGAATTTTGTCACAGGATTTTTCTAAATTTATTGAGACAATCATGTGATTTTTATCCTCTTTCCATTTATGTGCTGTATTGTGATTCCTGGTTCACATATGGTGAGCCATCCCTGCACCCCTGGGATGAAACTGACTTGATCATGGTGTATGATCTTTTAATGTGTTGTCACAACTCATTTCTAAATGTCTTCTTGAACCTCTACAATGAAAATATAAACCATTAAAGAAAGAAATCAAAGAAGATTACAGAAGATGGAACGATCTCCCATGTAGAATCAATATTGTGAAAATGGCTACACTACCAAAAGCAATCTATGTGTTGAATGCAATCTCCATCAAAATTCCAAAGATGTTGGAGTAATACACATCTATCAATATTTATATCAGCAGGAATATGTAGATATTTACTTTTATTTTTGATTATCTGTGTTTTGCACCTCTCTGTGTGCAATCCACAGTTCTTACACTGGAACCTCTCTGAGGTAATGCTAAAGTCTGAGGAAGAAAAGCATTCTGTAGTAGTAGTCTTCTGATTAAGTCTCAGTTGCTGTCTTAGTGGACCTGTGTTTTTGGTCCAAATATCTTTCTTGGATTGAATTTCTAATTTAATTTACTATGAACAGATAACATACAATCCATAATGTGATTCCTTTGCAATATATTTTATTTTGTAGTAAAGACTGATTTGTCTTGGTAAATATCCTCTGTCTACTTAAAAAATACTTTCTTTTCTTTTATAGTGCAGTGTTTTGTTAATCTCAATTAAGTCATATTGGTTGATAATTTTGTTCAAGTCTTCTATAAGCCTTATTATCTACTTGTTCCATGTGTTATCTATAGAAGGAGGTTGAAATTCATGTCATTTGGAATTGGCTGTTTTTCTTTCTATTTTGTCAGATTTTACTCATAAATTGTGAAGATTTGTTATATAACCTATATAACTGTTTAGCATTGTTATGTTCTCTTGATGAATTAATTCCTTTATCCCTCTCTGGTAATATCTTTGATTTGTATCTATTTTGTCTAATATTGATATAGCCTGCCAGCTATTTTTTAGTGATTTTATGGTATAAATTTTCCATCCTCTGACTCTTAAACTGGTTATGCCTTTATATTTAAAATATATTTCTTTCAGGCATCATAGATGTGAGTGCTTCTTTTCTCAACCAACCTGACAATCTTGGCCTGTGCACTTAGTGTGATTAGTGTATGGTTAGGACCAAGTGTGTTACCTGATCTTTATTTGTCCCCTATGTGCTTTGTTCCTTTTCTTTGCACTCATTGTGATTAACTGAATATTTTTTATGACTTCCTTTTATCACTTTTTTGGCAGTACTGGGGGTTGGACTAAGGGCCTTGTGCTTGCAAGGCAGGTGTTTGTGCTTCCTGTAAGGCTGACAGGAGAGTGCTACCATGCCAAGTCAGTGGATGAGGTGGAGTCTCATTAACCTTTTGCCCAGACTGGCCTATATATGCCATGGTGTTTTCTTATGAGTTCATTGAGTTTTGAGGTTCTGGCCTTTATAATGATCAAGATTTGGGCTCTCATTTCCACAAATATGTTTGCTGTCTCTACCTTCCTTTGAAGAATTCCAATTCCTGTATACCTTTGATGTTTTCCCATATCTCACTGATGCTTATTTTATCTTTTAAAACTTGTTTGTGTATGTTTTTTCAATGTGGATAATTTCTATGTTGGTGTCTTCAAGTTACCAATTGATGGCTGGCAGATCCTTAGCAGCTTCAGATTAGGTCACCAGAAAGATGGGGCAGGATTAGAGAATTGGGATTTTCAGTCCCACACCCAACCGTCCAGAGAGGAGAGAGGGCTTAGGGTTAGTTAGATCACAAATGGCAATATTTAATCAATCATGCTTACATAATGAAATTTCTATAAAATCCAAATTGACTGAGTTCAGAGCACTTCCAGATAGTTAAATATCTGGAGGTAACTGGAGGGTGGTATGGCTGAAGAAAGCATGGAAATTCCACTCACCCCCGTACCTCTCCTGTTCATCACTCTGTATCCTTTGTAATGTCCTTTATGATATACTAGTATACACAAGTGCTTCCCTGAGTCTGTAAGCCACTCCAACAAATTAATTGAACTTGAGAAGGGGTTCATGGGAACCCACATTTGTGACCAGTCATTCAGAAACAAAGGTAAAACAAGCTGTGCCTGCAACTGTAAAGGAGGCAGTTCTGTGGAGTTGAGCCCTCACCTGTAATCTGATGCTGTCTCCAGGCAGGTAGTGTCAGAATTGAATTGAATTGAATTGAATTAGAGGATACCCAGGTTATGTCCACTGCAAGAATTTCTTGCCAGCTTGGTGTATGGAAAAACAACTCCCCATCTTGTGTCAGAAGCATTCTGTGTATTGATTGTTGAATGACAAAATAGGAAGTGCACTTGAGTTTATTTTTCTTATATACTCAGACCTAGCCAATGTAATTTGCATCTTATTAGTTACAGTCTTCATCTCTGAGGCACAGTTTAGGACTTTCTTATAAATTCAAAATTATAGTGAATTTTTTGAACATCTTAAATATAGTTAATAACTTCTGTTTTGATGCCCCTATTACACACTATTTTTTTTGCTACTTTGTATGTCTCATCCTTCTTGATCAAATGTCAGTTATGAATTTTACCATCTTCAGCTTTGTTCTGGACTGGAGTGAAGATATGTAAAAACAACCTATGACTTTGGGTCTTGCTTTGAATATTCGTTAACTGGAATATTTTTTTATTCTAGTACTAGCTATTTCCTTCCAAGCCTCCATGTCTGCATACCCAGTGTCCAGTGGATTTACAAAGTTTTCTGGTCTGGATGACAGGAATAGCACCCTGTTTGAGCAGTAAGTACTATTTTCTCTCATTGTTTCATTTCAATATAATATAGTTTTGATTGGCATAAGAAGAAAATGAGTCTTTCCTTCCCTCTGCTGGTGACATACTTAGAATAGCAATAAAATGTCTCTTCCTTCAATAGGATGAATACCTCAGTGTGCTCTCATTTCATTCTGGTTTCCTAGATATCCATAATGTTGATATAGTCATGTTTGTTGTATTGTGATTAATATTTATTCTTCCCTTGAATTATCTTTACATAGAATATATAGCTTAATTATTGAATTAGTATTTGTTCCTCTATGAACATTTGAAAATATCATCCTTTTATAATTTTAACTCATTGTATGCACATATGAATAATAAAAAAAATTAAAAAAAAAAGAATTCCAAATATATGGTGATTATTTCCCTTATTAAAGTATTGGGCAAAGCAATAAAATTTTTCTTCCTTCAATAGGATGAATACCTCAGTGTGCTCTCATTTCATTCTGGTTTCCTAGATATCCATAATGTTGATAAAGTCATGTTTGTTGTATTGTGATTAATATTTATTCTTCCCTTGAATTATCTTTACATAGAATATACAGCTTACATTATTATTGAATTAGTATTTGTTCCTCTATGAACATTTGAAAATATCATCCTTTTATAATTTTAATTCATTGTTGCTGTTTGGCTGTTGAGAACTGTGATATTTATTTAATTTTTATTCCTTTGAGTATTTCTTTAACATTACTACTCAAAGTATATTCCAAAGTTCAGTGCCTATATATATAAATTACTTCTTAACAGTTCTTTATGAAAGAAGTACAGAAATAATGTTACAAAGCTTTTAGAGTGGGGGTCAGGGTTCCTGAGGCCTTCCCATAAGGGAGGCTTTTCTTCCCTTTTCCTCTTCTCTACTTAATAAACTTCTGTTCTTTCACTCAAAAAAAAAACCTCAGAGCAAAACGACAGTAAAATTTTACTCATGTTTAAAAAATTTACTTATAAGATTGCCATAGTTTTATAACTGCATATTATGGGGTTTAGTCATTTTTCTAATAATTCATTTTATTCACATTATTTTTCTAATAATTCACTTGAGAGATTTGTCAATGTGTGATATTATGGATATAAAGAAAGAAAGAATATTTACGACAAAAAAACCACTACCAACAAAAGCCTGATTCTTCTCTGCAGATTGTTTGAGAAACACTGCTTAACTGCTTGATGTCTCAGAAACTCTGATCACAAAGGCTCTGATTCCACACACAAGGCTGCATAATCAGTGGTGTCTGAGGTCACTATAAACACTAGAGTCCTGAAGTTTACAGAGTACAAGGGACTATTCTCATGGTGTAAGGTCTTTCTCCACATCACTTAAAACTGCAGATGGGGAACTACATGGATTTGCGTTTGAAGTAAGGATAGAGTGTCCCCAAGAAGCTGGCCTTTGGGAAGGAAAAGATGTAGGTGCCATCAGTCATGTTATAGAAGGAAATGTCCCTGTCCTCATAATCCAAGAAAATCACAATTTTCTCTGGACACTTTTCTACCTGGAGAGGATTTTCTTGGGAAATGTTTTGGGAACATATAAGAGCCCTGTATACACTTCCCTTCCTCTCTAAGACTCTGAATATCCTTTTTGATGGTTCTGATGTTTCTTTGAATGATCCATTCTCCTCATAAATGCCTAGTGTCCACTCATTAGTGTCCTTGAGATCCACTTCCCAATAGTATCTCCCTGACAGGAAGCCTTCCTGGTCAAGTGTAATGAGGTTGTCGTCTCCTTGTTCATCACTAACAGATAGACCTGTGTCTCCTCTCTGCGGTTCTCTTCTCTCCTTCTGTCAGAATTCTTCGAATGAGACGCTGCATGATTTACAGTCACAGGAGCTTAAAAAGAGAGAAAAGGCCACCATTGTGTATTTCAGAATGCTCTTGTGCATGTGAAATCTTAAAGAATTGTTATTGAATTAGTATTTGTTTCTCTATCAACACTTGAAAATATTGTCCTTTTATAATTTTAATTCACTGTTGCTGTTTTGCTGTTGAGAATTGTGGAAAGTGTGGAGCCATGAATAGCAGAATACTTGTCCCACTTCATCTTGTCTATTCTACTGTCTGAATTGGCAGAGTGCTATGGAGAGCCAGGGATTACTCAAGAACATTTTTCTCTCCATATTCTCTGAAATTAGAACTCAAAATGTGGAGCTGGTGGTGATATAGAGCCTCTTAATCTAAACATTCATGTGCCTCCATGACCACAGTTTGTGAGACATCAAGTGGTGTTTGTAAATCAATGTGCAGAAAAGAATCAGATTTTTATAGTAACTTTTAAAAAGGTGTCCACAAACTGACCCCCATTAAATAGTAGCTGAGTACTCTTGCCATTTCTGATTACTTTTTATTTGCAGGTCTGCTCAGCTGAGGGACTGTGTAATTTCCATTAACATAAACAAGTGGACCACACAGACAAGAAAGCTGGGCAAAGGTGGAAACACAATCAGAGTATCTAAACCTAGCAGTGAGTTCAGGCTCATGTTTAATAATTTTCATCTTCCCTCTCTTTGCCAGAATAATGGTGCCTCTGTCTTTTCAACTAGAAGATGATGCTAGAAAGAGAACACAAGAGACTAGAGGGCAGATTGGAAGGGAGCAAAAAAGATAAAGAAAGCCACTCACCAAGGTCAAATATCTCCTTCCTCCAGTCTGAAAAAGAGCAATGCAAATTAAGACTGAAAACATGCCCAGGGAATAAGAAAGCAAAGATCCTTCTTCCCCTGGCTCATTACTTTCTCCTCTCCAAATGCCCTTACTTTCCTTACTAAGCCTCCCAGACTCTGCTAGTATCCAGAAACTGCAGGACAAGTGGACTGCCTTCTGTACTCTTCCAGGTTGTGAGTTGTTCTCTGGTGTAGGTCAATGCTGCTAGAGAACTAAGATTCTCCTGCCTGCAGCCAAGTCTGCAGAACACCTAGGGTAGCTTTCCAGCACTCATGGATACCTGCACTGCACTCTTAAGACTTGTGTTGCCCTCTTCATTGTAAATGAGAGCCATGAAAAGTCCTTTCATTCTATTTTACCTGGGGGTTTCCCTTGACTATAACCTCTTCACACCTTATGACTCCTCAGAACCTATAGCTAAGGCCTTTACATAGTCCTCTATTATTTTCATCACTGTAAACAGATTTAAAAAATTTTTTTTCTCCAGAGACAGATTCCTCATGGAAATCTGCATTTTTTTTTCTCTTGGGGCCACTTCTCTTAGAATGGGATTGGCCGTTTTATTTAGAGATTGGATATTCTTAAAGGCTTGGGACAAGAAACAGATAAGGACATATCCATAATTCTTAAGAAGTGTACCATTGTGATCCTTCATTGGATCTCCCTCCTGAAAAAAATTTAGCACTCTGATATATAGAACCTATGAGTACATTAGTCAAGAACATTTGATGTTTTTATTCTATCCTCTTCATCTTAAAGATAAGGAGATTGAGGCCAAGAAAGAGAATGACTAGATTCCTCAGTTGTCATTGGTAGAGCTGCAACTAAAATGCACATGACCTTCATATCCTTATCTTGGTTATTTGCTCTCTCATTTGAAAAAAAAGTCCCATGAATAGTGCAACCACCTTTAATCCTGGGGGTCAGTTCCACTGACCTCCCCATGAGATAGTTTATCAGGCTTATGTAGTTGCTTGGTTTCTAGCTCACATCCCTCAATGGACTTTTACTTTCCACAGGGTCAGACATAAGAGCTATGCCATCAACATGTAGTACAAGATCTGTCATAGAGAAATTGCACAAAGGTATGTTCCAGGCATGATCTAGTATGTTTATGAATTCCAACTCTACATTACACATGTGCATATGTGCACATGTACACACATATACATGCACACCCACATTGACACATAGACACAGATATTAGAAAGTATAAGCATAATCAATTCCCTTTATCACCAGATAAACATATTTTACAAATGATATTGAAATATCTTGAAAGATTGATTTCACACTTTTAAAATATGTTTCTGTATATTAAGCTTTACTGTGTGTATTATGAATACTTAAAATAAGTAAAATCAAAGTTAAGTTTTTACAAATAGAAAAATATACTAAAATATATTATCTGATGTTTTAAAATTTATCTGTAGTATGGAAATGAAGACATAACAAGGTATTCTTTAATTTTCCCAAATCTTGTCAAAACCACTGTGAGTCCTTTCTTTCTCCAAAGTAGAAAGCTAGCAATGCATTTTGAGTCCTACCCCAGCAGATTGCTGAGAATTATCATTAGAATTTACTTCTTCTTTGTCTTTAGTTCTAGAAAATAAATGATTATTTGAATCCCCAAATACAAAATAGCACACATTGGTACCACATGAATTTTCACAGTTTGCAGGGGGACTGTTGTAGGTGTGTGTTGTCTTTGCTTATTATGCTCATAATACTAGAGTACTTGACAAGACAGAATCAACTTACCAGGATATATCAGGGCCTTCTTCCAATCTAAAACAGAACACACCCAGGTAAGTCAAGGTGGGACATTAATCTGTGGTCTCACATGTCTTCCCCCCTTTCCTCTTACTTTTTTCCACTAGCCGTCATTAAATCTTTCAGTGTTTTCCACCTTGGAGTGGGAGGTGAGGTATCAGGATATGAGGTGGTGTGGGAAATTAAAGTTCTCTTACCTTTTTTGTACAATTCCTTTCGCTGTTCTGAAAGAAACAACATTCATTGAGTGATCCAGAACAAGTTTGAAAAGGAGAAACAAACTCTACAGAGGGTAGGAGAAGAAACACGACTCACCAAACTCTGCCATGAGGTCAGCTAAAAAAGAAAGAGATGTAAAATCCATCAATTTGGGTTTAAGCTGCCCCTGAGTTTGAGGTGTAGCTAAGCACATTGGTTCTTGAGGGACCCATAATTTGTTTGACAGTGACCAGAAAGCATATTTGTCCTGTCTAAACTGACAAGTGCTAAGAAAATACACATGGGAGGAGGCATGGTGTCACAGAAGAAGAAATGCCCAGGCTTCATGGAAGTTTAAGATTTATTAGGTGTTTCTGAAGCTTATTCTTAAAGGATAAATAAGAAGAGAAGGTAGAGAGAGACATTTGTACAAGGAGAATTAGCAGCACAGGCTGGTATACAGAAGTGTGAAACTGTGGGATATGGAATGAGAAACCACATTTCAGAGCCTGATGCCCACTTCCCACTGACCTTCTAGCTTCCCACATAGTTTTCTCCTCTGTACAGAATTCCCAGCTTTGCAGAAAGTTTACACTGAGGTCCCTATCCTTCCTACACCTTGGCTTTTGCATAAACTTCTGATTTTCCCTGTTTCCCTCAATTTATACCTTTGGTTTTAAATGCCGCTTCCTTTTCCTTCTTTATCTGAGCTCTTTCATGAGATTCTTTATCCCTTTTCATTATTTCTTCCTTCTTGGCTTGATGTTCTTTCCAGCCAAAGTAGATGAACCCAGCGAGGAGGAGTCCTAGCACAGGGAGTGTCCCAGCCAGGGCTGCCTTCCATGGAGACACCCGAGGGAAGAAGGGCTCTGACAAGGGTATATGTAAACATGGTAAGTGGCTGGCCTGGAGAAAACATTTCTCTCCTGGGCTCCTTTCATTCCTTCTTCTCCCTCTCTGCCCTTACCATACCCGTTCACGGTTGGGCCTCACTGACCTGGGAGGAAGATGGCTGATGCTTTCTCTTGTCCAGAGAGGGGATTTTGGATGGAGCAGGTCACATTGCCCAGGAATCTGTCTGTGACCACAATGGAGGTCTCCACATAGAAGAGCCCATCTCCGTCTTGGGTCTGAGACTCAGGGAGGGATGGTAGCTTCATTCCCACAGTGTCTCTCCACTGTACCTTGGGTTTTGGGAACCAGCCACCTGAGGAACACAGCACTTGGATCCCATCTTCCTCTGGCCCTGTCATGTAAACGTGAGGGGCTGAACCCAAACCTGAGAAGGAAAAGCATGTGTCTGAGACCGTGGTCCTCAGGGACTCTGAGCTAAAGGCCACGCTGCCCTTCACTAGACTGAAGAAAGACCTGGAGCTCAGAGGTCAGCGTTACTGACATGTGACTCAATTTGACATCAATTTATTTCCTTTACATTGTGCTTGGAGTGAGAGCACTCTGGGGTCATTTTAGGAAGAGAAAAGAATAAGAACATTCAAAGCTAGAAAATGGGTTTAATTCTATTAGTTGTCTTTCTCTCCCAATTTAGTAAAAATGGTTTGAGGGAGAGTCTCAGTGGTTATTACTACTGAATAAATGTGCTGCTGTCTTTCAGGATATCAAAACATGTTCAGAAATGTTAACTGCTTTGGTATTTAAAAGAAATGGAGTATGCAGTTGTACCTCTTTGTACAGTTGAGGAAACTGACATTCTGCAGGTACATCAACATATCCAAGATCCCAAGCAGCACTAGGTCAGAAATCTTGAGACCCTCATTTTGCCCTTTGTTTTACAACATGACACATATTCTGTGCCAAATTCACATACCTATAACATTCAGCTCCACGACAGCCTCTTGGGAGATGTCACCATCTTTAAATTGACACCAGTACTGGCCATCATCTGAAGCCCGGACATGCTCTATTAGCAGGGCCACGCCCCCCTTGCCAATGGAGTCTCCCACCAGTTGGGTCCTGCCACGGTACTCCAACATTTGCTCCGCATCTTGCTCCTGTCCATTCTGGACTACCAGCACAGCAGGGGAGAACTGGGCACGGTACCATCGGATGTGCATGTGGGCTGCACTCTGCTCAGGAAACAGCTGGCAGGGCAGGGTAGCATCTGCCCCAAGCAGGACCACAATGGGCTCAGCTGGTCCTTTCACAGAAAATCCAGATCCTGCATGGGGATAAGAGACATATTGGGGGATAAGAGACAGATGCATGTGGGGAAATGTAATCAAAAGCCCATTCTCATTTCCTTATTAGGAGACACAAGCATATTTCTCCTTTGTATTATTTTCCAATGAATTTTATGTAAATTAAAATGTATATATCCACTATGCGTATGTGTATATGTATGTACATATATTTTACATTTTATTTTTATATACTTTCATATTTTATATATGTATAAATATACACAGGACTTGTAGGCCCAAAAATGTTATGATTCTGGGATGAAAATAATTCAGAAAGGGAGCTAGCAGAGTGATTCAAATGGTAAAGTGTCTTCCTAGCAAGCATGAAGGCCTGAGTCTAAACCCCAGCACTGCAAAAAAAAAGAGTTCACATAGGGACAGCTGTGTTAGTGGCTAGGAAGACTTAGTATAAAAGGCAAAAGCATATGACCTTAAATAAAGTGCCCCTTTTCAACCTGTCCCAGAGAGGGTGGGATGGAAAGTTCTGGTCAAGGAATATCACAGGGCTTATTATGATAGACTGAGGCCATGTTCCCCCACTTCTTTTGCATTACTGTATAAAATTCAGGGTACTGTTGTAACCCAGAGGATACATGTTATTTGCTGCATATGACTGGGATGCTGGCATACACATTATATAAGCAATAGTTTGTAAAACAGTATTTGATATTATGTGTAGTTGCAATGTAGTGGGAAAAATCATTATTTCACATAAATGGGAATCTATACCATCATGTTCAAACTTGTCCCATATGGGTTACTATTTACATTGCTTCCAACTTGTTATTACTACAGACATTACACAGACCTGAATGAGGATGAGCGAGCGAGAGAGAGAGAGAGAGAAATTTATATAGAATTCTTGACTCAACACATATGGACATTAAAAATTTGGTACTCACCACTTGATATAAGATTAAGTAGATGATAACAAAAAATGTCATCCTTGTGATCTCATATCTGGTTTTACTCCAAACCTGGAGTCTGAAAACTTCATCCAGAATAGTCCTTTTATTTTATGAAGTAGGGACTCATGTTCCAGAGACAGTAAGTGATTTGTTCAAGATCACAATCCACCAAATAGAGCTCAGGAATTCTGAGTTTAAATTCTTTATACTTAGATTTGACTAAGTATGAACATTACAAAGTATTTTTCACCAAGTAGACACATCAGAAATAAACAGACTAAAACTATCTAATGAGTAAAGTTTTAGAAAAATATTAAGGATCTAAGTTTTATGATGTCTACCCTAAGGAACAAGGGGCTTTCATGTGAGGAGGTTTTCTTGACCAATGGAGACCAAGTGTTTTCATTTATTAAACAGGATCCATAGAAAACAATACAATAAATAAAAAGCATGAGGCAGACTACTGACCTGCTGAGAACCACATGGACACCTGGAGAAGAAGAGGGAAGAGAGAACCCACTGGAGATAAGCCAAGAAAGTCCGCCATCTTCAGAGCAGAAGTGAAAGTTTCACAACAAGGGAAAGCTGGGCACTGTACCATCAGATGTGTATGTGGGCTGCACTGTGCTCAGGCACCAGCTGAGATGTTCTGTAGGAGATGGAAGTTGAGAAAGACAGCAGAGTCAAGGTTCTTAGGGGAGAAATCCTGTTCGACAGGATTTCTACTTTGTACACAGAATTTTGACTGTTTCTCCCACACAGACCTTAAGACAAATATTACCTACTTCCAGTGAGTTTTCCTTTCCTTTCTTCTTCTGAAAACCAACTGCTTCTCCAGCAGGTGTAGAAAACTGTAAAGCATTCTCTTTTACTCTGTGTGGTCTCTTGCTTTTCAATGGATTCATTTTCTCAGTAATGTGCTCTTAGAGCAGAAAACCATGAGATCAAATGTTGAGAAATGAAGTCAGACATGGAACTACACTAACCTCTCTATCTTCAGTCTTCTTGCGTTTATTCATTTTTGTTTACTTACACATTTATTCATGAACTTAGTTACAAAGAATAGCTCTTGTGGCTTAACTCCCAACTGGGAAAGGACCTTTTCTCAACACATGTCCGAGAACTCAACCCCCTCTTTTTTGGGGACCCACAGTTACCACAGACATACCTGTACATGACCACACATTTCTCTCTTACCATCTGGATGGTGCTGGATTCCTGGAAGCTCCGGGTATCCTCAATGCATCTACAAAAGCTGGCTCCAGAGACAATTTCTTGCGGTCAGCATCCAAGGGTGTGTATACTGGCGCAAGGGGCCCAGATTTCCAATTCACTGCTGGAGTAAGAAAATATTCTTGCTAGGGGGTGACACACAGGATTTCTAAGAAGCACTGTGTTTTGAGTGGTTTTGTTTGAATGAGTTAGAGAAAAATCATAGCTATCTCCAGCTCTTCAGTTACTTTAAAAGAGGAAGTAATAAAGGTCACTTTGGGGACTTTGGACCAGGCTGAGCTGTAAAGCAATAAGAACTCTAATGTGTGCCTTTGTTGAAAATGTTCAGCATGGCTCCTTTCTCCCACCTGCAAAGGGCAGAAACCACACTTTCAGGGACAGGAGTCATCTTCATGTATTTTTTCAGATCTGTAGATCATTCCAGTGTTCACCTCACACAGTTAACTGATTAGAGAATAAAACCAAAATAAGCATATTTCTTCCTACCACTCAGCTGACATTGGAGGACAGAGCTGGATAGGGGAAGTCACAACTCAGAAATGGAGAGTTCTGTGTTCCCAAAAGCTTAGGGAAACCAATAACAGAATAGAAATAATAACACAATGTACAGTGCCAAGCACTACATGTACTCAAAAGGAGTTCTCTTTTCATTTCATTCTTTCCTAGTTTAATTCATGTTTCTTCATGCTGTACAAGGTTTACAGATAGAGTCACAAATAGCAATTGCATGATTAGTATTAAGCCACCAACAGTCTGTCCAAAGGAATAGCGAGACTAAATATTCTCTGCACCCATCAAAGTAAATTAAGCTGTTTAAGAAATCAAATGTATTTAGATATAATTTTCATACAGTGAAAATCATGGTTTGAAATGTACATTTTAAAGATATTTCACCAATGCTTGAGATGAAAGTCCAGGGAATTATTTGGGGGTTGTTCCTTTCATCTGGTTGAGGTGGATACAGTGCAGATGTCAGTGGAGGAATTTACTAATGTCTAGGAGAAGGATAGTTGAAATGTGTCCTTGTCTTTTCAATTCTCTCTAATGAAATGAGAAACTTAACTGGCAGATGAAAATTTATCTTCAAAATAACACATATATTCATGTGACTTGAGTAGGATATTGTAAAAAATATTGGTAGCACGTATCAAACATGAGTGCTACTGATACTCTTCTACCTGTTTTACGTATATTAATTTATATAATTTCACACAAAGCTGATGGTATGTATCATGAGAAAACCGAGGCACAGAAAGGTTGTGTAACCTGCCTCAAATGATAAATATACTTACATCAAGATTTTAACCCAGGTAGCCAGTTCTAATACTGGATCATATTTTTCAGAAAAAAAGGAAATCAGACATGTAAATGTGTAATTATTAGATAGGTTTATTCTCTGTGCCAGGTCAAAGGTCTCTTCCCTTGTTTTATTTTACTTTCAGTTATGAGAGTGCCATAGGAATGAAAGAGAAATTTATCCCTGAGAGGTTTTTTTTGGGGGGTGCTGCTTCTTTCCAGTTTTCTGAATTTTTTACATGACCACTTTTGCCTTCCTCTCCTCAAATTTCCTGAAGCATCTTGTAGCAAACCTCACAGGAAAGACCTTTAGGCAGCCTGGAGAGGGGAACTGGGAGGAAGGTCTGAGAGTTCTCATTCCTGGTGCCTGTGACTGAAGAGTTCCAGGATGCCTTCCTCTCTCTAGGATTAAGAGCTTAAAAATGTGAGTGTTGAATGAGTCTTTCCTGGGTTATGAGCAAAAGGGAGGGAAGTGAGGGAATCTTGGCAAGGATCATATGGGTGGACACAGGAAAGCTGAGTTATGTCTTTCCCCATCATACAGGAATGTGGCAGGGGCGGGGGGTATTCATGGACGCCAGAGTAGTGTTTGTGCTGATGCCATCTCTCTCCATGCTGCTCCTTTCCTTCCCTCTGTCTCTCTGTCATTGGATAAAATGTTCTTGAATAAGAGAATTTAGAGAGATGTGGGGCAGGTTTATCACAGCAGAACATGGCTGTTGAGATGAGGTCTGTTTCCCAGGAAAGGGGGAATTAAAAGCCTCTTGGTGAGTGTCAAGGGCTTCCCTTGTGCTCCCTGGGGAAGACAGTGCAGGGGACTGACACCATTTCTTAGCATCACCAGGAACCTCTTTAGTCATTATCTTTTTACTCATGTTCACCCAGCTATTCCCAGAGCCTCCCTCTGGGTCACAGTGTCCCTGCCTTGGGAAAGATGGTTAGTTCCCTGGACCTCTGTCTGCCAAGAGACTTCTTCTCTATCCTTCTTCTCCAGGTGTCCATGTGGGCCTCAGGTGAGGATATTTATATTTGTTAGACCTGGTTCTCTTAGTCTCTGGATAGAAGGGTTAAATCACTCCAATTGTAATATATACCTGCATTCATTCTAAATCCTCTATTTTGATAAAATGATTTATTTCTCCATTCATCAGAGAAAATGAATCTTCATAAGAAATGTGTTTTCTGATGCAAAGACCAGATTGAAAACTCTAGTTTCATGATTTCCCAGCCCTTGTCCTGCCTCCTTCATAAAGTACACTACCATTACAATTTAGAAATAATTCGCTTTATATGAGATTTCCCTGTTGATTGCAAGCTCCCCAGGAGTAAAAGTCCTCTGTGCCTTGTGCACCACTACATCCTCAGCCCGAATGTGTGTTGTGAATAATTGTGTGACTGAGGGAAGGCCCATGGGGCTCTCCTAGCTAATAATGATACTGTCTTCTGAAATGTCCAGGCAGGTCTTTTCTGACATCCTTTCCACTTTTGGCTTTATCCCACAGATTCATTCTTAGTGATTGGCCCCTCAGAGCCCATTGTGGCTATGCTGGGTGCAGATACTGTGCTCCCCTGCCGGGTGTCCCCAGCCATGAATTTGGAGAACATGGAGCTGCGGTGGTTCCGCTCCCAATTCTCAGAGGTGGTGTACATGTATCAGAATGGGATGGAGCAGGTGGAGAACAACTAGTAGATTTTAAAGGAAGAACAGAGTTGTTGAAGGATTACATGTCTGAGGGAAGAGTAGCTGTGAGAATCCGCAATCTTCAAGTCTCAGACAATGGACTGTACAAGTGTTTTTTTAAAAAAGGCAGTGATTTTGAAGAAGCCATTTTGGAGCTAAAAGTTATAGGTGAGTAATTATCTGACAATACAGACCAATCTTAGGGAAATGCAAGTGTTCTATGTTTGATTTGGGGAGTAGGAAGGAGTGAACAGGGCAAAAGCAAAGAGGTGGGTATGCTTGGAGTTGGCCAACATCCTGGACATTGGGTTTGATCCAAATTAGTCTGGTCTATCTTTACAATTATTGTACTGTACTTTAAATTAAACCACTCCTATCAAATCTATCTTAAAAATGGGCACTTTATTTCCATTCATGTCCCTCTCCATACATTTTGAAGAAAGCACCATTACCAAAATGTACCATTGCTGCCAGGGAGCAGCACTCTGCTTCTGTGACCAACAGAGTCTCAACCAAGACCATTAGTGGCCAGGTCTTCACTGAGCTATTTGGAGGAAGTGAATAGGAGGACTGTGTCAGGGTGGATTGATGCTGTCGAAAAAATTATCAGTAGATGCTTGAGGTCAGAAAATGATCAGCATTCAGTAACTAAGTGAGGCAGAGTGAACCATTAATTGAGTTGCTTTGGGAGAAATCAAAAGGCCTGAAGAGAGGAATGAGTGTGAAAGTCTGGAATAGACTGAGGGAAAGTACACAGAGCATTGAATGACCACTGCAGGATTTTCATGCTTGGTGTTGTTTCGTTTATAACTTTAATAAAATTATATGCCTACCGTCTCAATCCACTCTTTCCTTTCAACATTGATTTTTCTCTTCCAATGTAACTCTTACTACCAGATTGTTCTATGCTCTTCCAGAAATCTCTTTCTTTATATAACCACATTTCTACATTGCACATGCTAATCTCTTTTAATAAACTAGTGTGTTCACTGTTTTAAAAGAAAATTAAATCTGACTTTGATTCCTCAGTCAGAATGGTGATATGAGTTATGTCCTAGTTATTTTTCAAGTTTCTTGTCTCTCTTTCCCTAGAGTCATGAACGTGCGAAGGTACTTTGTGTGTAATGTAGCTCACGACATCCATGATTTGGCAAATCCACTCCAGTTTTGGTCTCTCACTAGTTAGTTCTAGGAGGCTCATCATTCAGCCTTATTTATATCACTGCACAATTGCCTCCTTGAAAATTAACTCACAAATGCTATTAAAGACCTGGTAAACTGCTCAAAAGGCACCAGAAGATCTTGTGTGCCTTTCTTAGGTTTTAAGAAACCTCTCTCTCTATCAAAACTTTTATTTCCCTTAAAGATGAAAGTTTATTTGACTCAATTTTCCAACTTGTATTATGCAATTGCTCTAACTAATGCATTCAACAATAAAGAAAGAAAGGTTTTCTTCATGCAGTTCCTATTGTAAGCCAAACAAATATGCCTGAAGCTAAAATATTCTAATTGTAAGCAGTGAGGGGTTTGGCAGTACTGGAGTTTGAACTTACCATTGTAATCAGGGAAAGAAAAATTTAGAGGGAAATACAAGTAATAGTTATCAAAGTAAAGTTAATTACACTATCAAAAAGTCAAATAATTTTCTGCTCTGTAACGTGGGTATTTTTATTTAAAATATCTTGCAATATGTTCTTTCTGCAAATTGTTTTGTTCTCCTTAACAACATATAATACACAAATTACAAAGGATTGTGTTCTTTTATGTTGCATATGTTCCATTATATAGCAATCCATAATTTATGCAAATATTTACTTAATATTAATTATTTTCTATTTTAAATCATGACAAAAGATGAAATACACTTTCCTCACATACAGAATTTCTTAATTATGAAGTTTATATCCTATAGTTTGACAACTAGTTTCAAGACAATCGTAACAGTTCTTTAAGTATATGAACAGCCCAATAATTGCTTGAGTTGCCATTTCTAACAGCACTGCATGAATACACATTTTATACCTTTGTTGACATTGAATATTCTAGTTATTTCACTTTTATTTTACAAGTCTGAGAAAAATGATACACTATTATTTTTATTACTCTCATAACAAAACAATTAGGAATCTTTCTTGACTAATGTATATTTTTCTTCTTTCAATTTCCTGCTTATGCCTTTTAATTAATTGCTTTTGGAAGGGGAAAGGAACTTTTTAATCAATATTTTCTATTAATTTGCAGTTAGTCTCTTATAAATAATAAAAAAACCTGTTTGTATTTTTCTCATTTTATGTTATCTTTAATTGATAGAAATTTAAAAGTATTATATATTCAGAATTGTCAACTTCTTTTACATCTCCTTAGTTTTATAGCACACATTTATACTAACATCACAAACTATTTCACCTTCTCTCCTAATACTTTTTCTGTTAGATATACTGAAATATAACATAAGTAGAGAATTTCATTCTGACTTTGGAAGTACCACTCCATAAAGTTTCAAAATGTGAATAAACCTGAAAAATTAGCAGCCACATCAGGAAACACAACTTAACTAGAATCCAAAATATCTGTTTTTCTCCTTGCAGTCACTATCCTCAAGGACAGTGACTCTTCTGATTAGTTGTTATTTTCCCAGTTTTGAATTTCACGTATATGAACTTTTTTATGCCTGGGTTTTATTGTCCAACATTATGTTTGTAAGATTTTTTTTCCACATTCTTACTTGTACTTACTTACAATCCACTTTTATCTCTTTGTTTTTTGCTTTTTACACTTAAAACTTTAATCTTTCAGAAACGTTTTAATGTTTCATAGATAACTCAAAATATTGTTTCCAATATACATATTCACTTATCACAGTACCATTAGTGAATAAGAATATTGTGAGATCTCCACCAATTAACACATGCATTATTCCCATTAGCTTCTCATAGAGATTCTTCAGGCAATTCCAAATTACCTATGTGGTTATAATAACACTTCAATTTCTATTTGTTCTGCTAAGACAAATGTATTTTTTTCAACCTGCCCTTGTCCTTCTCCTCCTTTGAATATCAGACCTATTTAAAGTGATACTTTTTAATTTATGTTTTCTCAAATAGAGTTCATTTTATCCATCTTCTTTGTGTATATTTTTAATAGGAAGACATTAAATCCATTAGCTATTGAAGGAAATAGTGAGAAATACCCTTGATGTTACTGTGATCCACTTTAATATCATCTCAGTAAGAGGTCAAAGATTTTCCACAGTCTCAGAACTAACCTCATGAGAGATATGGCATTCTCCAGTATCTTTCCTATATCAGTTATTTAACTGATGGCAGTAAAGATAAGACTGACCTTTAGAAGCAGTCAGTTGATTATATGTCCATGCTTATCTTTCATTCAGTTAACCTTTGCCCAGAAGGTTAACTAGGAACCAGAAGCATGTCTTCCCTAAAAGGTCAGAGTCTGGTAGTAAAACACTAAATGTCTTAAAATATTTAACCAAAAAAATGATGCTACCAAACTTAATGTAGTTCTTACATTAAACTACATAATGTAGTTCTACATTAAGCTGGGGACTGAACCAGACATAAGAAAGCTCATACAATGTGATATAAAGCAAAATAATATGTAGTCTAGAAGTAGTGGGCTCATCTAGCACTCTTGTAATGTTATGTTTTGATGTGGGTGTTGGTACATAGACTCATAGTAGAACCCAGTTGTGACAAGTTGAAGAAGAGGGAGGTGACAAAAAGGGAAAAAAGGAGTTGTAGACAAAAAATAAAAACATCTTGACTCCTTCATGGATTCATTTCACCTGACTACCTTTATGTTTTATGTAAAACTCAGAGAAAAAAAAGAAAATTTGAAATATAGGTTGTTTAAAGAATTTAATATAAGAAGCCTCATTTTAAGCCTTCCTTGAGACTCTCACAAATGGAATAGACAGACAAATACAAATATATGAATTTTTTTTAAGAATTCAACATTTGCAAAATTTACCCTGTCCCTTTCCTAAGATCCTTACATAACCTGACTGCAGATATGCTTAGGTAGAAACTATTGACAGGCCTTGGTATGATTCTTAGTAAAAGCTTCAAGTCTTCTGTGATTTGTGAACCATAGATAGCTATTTGACTCCTGGAAAAAGAAAAGAAATCCTCCTGCCCATCTCCCCACACTGTACTACTGTGGTTTCTAGTTTTCTACATAAAAATTATCCAGGTCTCAAATGAATGACTTTCCTTTCCAGGTCTGGGTTCTGGCCCTCAGATCCTCATACTGGGTGTTGAAAATGATGGAATAAAGCTGACATGCACAGGCAAGGGATGGTTTCCCCAGCCTGAGGTGCAATGGAAAGATGCCAAGGGAGAGAAGATTCTATCTCTCTCTGAGGATGAGACCCAAGATGATGATGGATTGTTCCAGGTAGAGGCATCTCTCATTGTGAGAGACAGCTCAAAGGGGACAGTGTCCTGCTCCATGAAGAACCCCTTCTTCGGACAAGAGCAGGTGGAAACTATTTCTATCCCAGGTCAGTATTGCTCATTCTGAGGACAGGATGGAGTAAGGAGGGGATATTGGGATCTGGAATGGAAATGCCTTGCTTGGTGTGTATTTTTGATAAGGTTTTGGGGCCCGGTGTCAGAGCCCTTCTTTCCTAGAGACTCTCCTTGGAAGCCAGCTTTTGCTGTGACTTTCTTCATACTTATCGTTTGTCTGATTGCTGCTGTGTTTTTGGCCTGGAAAGAGAAAAAGGCAAAGAAAATAGCATTGGAAGCCATGGAAGAAAAGGAGAAAGAAAGAAAAGACAAAGGTAAAACTGTGAATCAGACAGGGTGGCATCATAGCCATAGCCATGGAAAATCATTATCTAGTCTTAGTAATATGAACTAGAAATAGATCTAGGACTTCTTCCCTGTAAAATCATTTAAAAGTTTTATTTCATTTCTTTAGAATTACTTGAGAAAGATCTTGGTGAGTTCTCCATTTTCTCTGCCCTATGGAGGAAGGGAAGTACCTGTTCCATGCTGAGCACTTGGCATCTCACAGGCTGTTGTTCCTTTTTAGAGAGAAGGAAGAAATTATATCAACAAGGTGAGTTTCACTGATGCTATCGTTGGCCTACAATCACACCTGTCCCTACCTTCTGATCACCTGTTGTTTACCTTGTTGATAAGAGAGGGATACTCCACCGTAAATAGCACAAAATGGCCAAACATATGACACCCAATACTGAACAGATGAAATCAACAGCACTTTATCAGTCAGATACACTCATGGCCTGGAGAGAGGACACTGCATGCTATGCAGGACCACACAGGTTGCACTTGGGAGCTGAGTGAACAGCCAGGGCTGTAGGAGGCAAACTTTGTAGTAACTGGAGGATGAGGTCCCCCTATGCTCCAGGGAAGTACATGACAGGCTTGTTTGAATAATTCACAGCAGACATAAAGATGAAGCTCATTAGGTTGAGGACAAGGTAGGGTTTGGTTGGTTTGTGGGAATTGCCAGGGTGGGAGTTTTTCTGTTTTTGGGGGATGGATGTTTGATAAGAGCAGAGGTAGTCACTGTGAAACATTTGGAGCCAAGTGATGCTTAAAGATGACAAGAAGAACTTGAAACTTTAGGCTGCACAACATGCACTCACAATTTAAGCCAATCCTATCCTTCTCCCAAAAGGACTAGACTTAGACTGGTGGAATGTGGAAAGTGTGAGAAGTAGAACAGGAAATGTGAAAGAAGAAAAATAGCAAACAGACCATAATTGTCATTAGGAGACCCAGATACACATAAGTTTGGGTTTTGTGGTTTTTTTTTGCCAGTACTAGGGTTTGAACTCGGGGCCGCATGCTTGCTAGGCAGGCACTCTAACACCTGAGTCACTCCACCAACCTTAAGAGACACAGATATACAACACTACCATAAACTTTTCACACTTTGAAGTGAAGGTGAGAGAATCTAATTACTTTTTTTTATTTTAGACTGGAGAAAAGCAAAATTATATGCTGGTGAGTAACTGTGAGGTTGTCTTGTGTCTACAGTCATCCCAGGACTTCATGAGGCATTTCCAAGGTATTTTCGAAAAAGGTGCCATTTTATTTGAAGATGAAGTCCAGAAAGGGATGAGGGAGGTGGATGTTCCACTGGCTCATAAGATGCTCGGAGACATAGTTTCCCATGTGATTTCTTTTTCTTTTTAGATTGGAGAAAGGAACAGTTTGAAGCAGGTAAGTGACCTTAGAGACCACTTATTGAAGTATTCAGCACAAATGTCCAGGCAGCTCTCAACTTACAATGGTTTGACCTATGATTTTTAAACTTTATAATGGTGCAAAATCAATATGCACTAAGTAGAAACTTTACCTTGAATTTCAAATTTTGACCTTTTCCTGGGTATATGGTATGATCCTCGTCCTGATGTTGGTCAGCAGCCATGAGCCATATCTCCCAGTCAGCCATGAGCCCAGAAGGGTAAATAACCAATTCTCAGAATGTACCATGCTGCCAGCAGCTTTTTGCATACTGTTTATGTATTTATGCATACCATCATTCTTTAATAAATTACATGAGACATTTAATACTATATTATAAAACAGGCTTTGTGTTGGATGATTTTACCCAATTGTAGGCCAGTGTAACTGTTCTGAGCATATTTAATGTGGGCTAGGCTAAGCTATGATGCTTCTGATTTGGTATATTAAATGCAGTTTTGCCTATACTATAGTATTTTCAACTTATGATGAACTCATTGGCATATAACCCTCGCATAAATGGAGGAGCATCTATTCAGTGCCAAATAAATAATGCAAGTGGGATCTCTGACTTCATGGGAAAGCACATACACAAACTGTGATGAACACAGTGTAGAAGTAAGAGATTACCATGAAAGAAAATAGTGGATTAAAGGACCCCCCCAAAAGAATTGTTATTTAAACTGAGACTTGAGTGATGTATGTGTACTCATTCTTGTAAATAACATTGACAGAATAGCAGTAAGAAAGAAGTTACTGTGTAACCACCCTGAGACAGAAAAGCCTCAGTGAAGTGGATGGATAATGGGCACTAACAGTCTTTGCCTTCCCAGATTGTAGGTTGATCACCAATTTCTAGTGCATGCCACTGCACTCTGAGTAATATTGTACCCAAAAAACATGTCCTGATTAATTGCATATTCTAGTAACTAGAACATATTCTACTTCCCATATTCAAATTCTTTGAGAAAAAAATTTAATTATTGAAGATGTTTGGTGTGACAAGAAGAATATTCAGTATTATTAGTATTAATACTATTGCTTTTATACTGGTAGTAATTACTGTAAACTTTGGAAGCTAAAATTAGCCAAGTGTTCATCATGGAAAAGATATAGCATTAAGCTCTGTACCTACTATCTAATTTTTTTCAGTAGGATTTTGCTGAGGTACCATAATTATTTACATCATCACAAGGGTAAATGAGGCTGAGAGAATCAAGCAACTTCACCAAGATCACAGCTACTAAGGACAGAGTGATTTTCCCAAATTCAGACCTCCCTGAATACACTGCCTGGTATTTCAGTAATTCGAAATGTAACAGGGGTATATGAGAAATGAATGACTTAGTTCATAATCCCACAGAAAAATGATTCTGAAAAGGTTGATGTGAAAGTAGGCCCACAAAATTGGAAATATGGTAAGACTCAATTGCTAAGAGCAAGTGGCAAATTAACAGGCACTTGAAGGAGAATGAGGAAGCCTTGTCCTGAAATGCCTTACTTGGGGTTTTCAGATGCATTAGCTCTTCTGTCTAGATGGTCTCAATCTTTGTGGAACAGAGGTTACCTGAAGTACTGTCCATCCCTGGTCCTTTTAAGAATTATCCATCTTGTGTGTCCTATGATGAAACGTAAATTGTTTTGCCTACTCTTCCATTTCTCTTCTAGTTTTCCTCCATCACCCTTACACAGTATCTGCATATTTTCCAAAGCCAACCAGTCTCCACAATGCACTGCTCTTTTTTCCCCCACACCAACAGTGGCTGTTTCTCTGGATCCAGACACAGCTCATCCCGACCTCATCTGTCTGAGAGTGGAAGACATGTTTCTCCAAAAGAGAAAGTTGCTCAGGACTGCGATGCCTCGAGGCAACAAGAGCAAGGCAAATCTGAGAGCATCCTCAGTGTTTTAGGTCAGAATTGCTTTACCACAGGGAAATATTATTGGGAGGTAAAAGTAAATATAGGGACAGAAGTTGGGCCCACTTCCAGATGGGCTCTGGGTGTTTGCTCTGATACTGTGAAGAGAGATGGGTGGTTTAAGGAAATCCCAGCAAAGAACTTCTGGCTAGTGGCATGTGAGGAAGGGAAAATTGTGGCTCTCGACACCAATTCAAAGCTTCTGCCACTGAGGGAGTTCCCCCACAGGATAGGAGTTTTTCTGGACTGGGAAGCTGGGGATGTGTCTTTTTACAACATGGTTGATGGGTCCCATATCTACTCCTTTGCTAGAATCATCTTCTGTGGGGCCCTACGCCCTTATTTTAGCCTTCAGGGTGCTGGCAAGTCTGTGACCATCTGCTTAGCTTCAGATCACACTGAAAATTGTCCAGATTGTTCTCAAAAGTCCTCCGTAACTCGTCTAATGAGTCATGATACAGACATCCCCCAGGAAAGCAAGCCCCTGTTATCCTTCAAAGGAAGTGAGGTGTAGGGCTTCCAAGCAGCTCTGCTGCCTTCATTCAAACTCTGTATGGGGTTGTTTTCCAAGAAAGTTGTCCTTGAGCGGTGATTTCAGAGAGGCAGAAAGAGAAATGGGAAAAGTCCAGTGAATTTCTCTAACATTACCACTTGGGGGAATGCAGTTTCTATGTGGGCAGCATTAATTAGTTATAAGAAAACTCCAAACATGTGCATGGGTCTCTCTCCTGGTTTGATGCTTGTTATGTGTTGAAGTAAATATGTTTACCTATATTTGAAGAGAAAAATCTCTTTTATTATTTTTTGCAATCAAATATGGCGGAAGAAGGTGTTTGAAGGAAAGGGTCACAATAGAGTGATTTCTCAGTACATGGTTCCACTGTTAGCAATGCAGAGACATCTGTTCAAGTATTTTGAAAGTTAGTAGCTCAATTTGTTCATTCTTCCGGCTCTGGTGTCACTGAATATCTACTCATGGAGTTTGCCAAAGGGCAGAGAAGTCTGGTATATAACTGTAAGCCATTTGAGCAAAAGCCAAAGATTTCTGGGAAGTGAACTGCCAGCTTCTCACTGATCAGAAAATCCTGGGAGGGGAAAATAAAGGATAATGATGGAGGGGATGAATTCAAGTATAATATATTGTAAAAATTTTGGTAAATGTCAAAATGTACCCCCAGTACAATGATAATAAAAAAAAGAAAGATTAAGAAAAAGAAAATCCAGAACTGTGTCCTATGTGAAAATGGGAACAAAAAAGAAACTGGTATTTATGCTTTCAGAGAGAAAAAGTTATGCAGGAAAGAAAAAACATCCATAGCCTTCATAGAGAAGACTTGCTTACAATAGAGGTATTTTTTTTCCGATAATAATTTTTCCACTGTTGAGGGTTTCCCTGACCTTTACTGCATCCAAACCTCCCCATCTGCTTATCACCAAAATTGTGACTCCAAGATATAAAATATGAATTTCTCCTCTTAACTGAACATTCTTTCCTGATAATGGAAGGGACCCACTTACACTGTTCTGTACTCCTGGCAAATGTTTAAGCCACAAGTCCCTCTCACCTCCTCACTTGGAAGATGTATCTCTTTAGTGAGATTTCCTGTGGCACACAGTCATGAAGTGGCAAAGCCAGTACTTGAACTCAATAAGAACAAATCCAGAGCCCAGAAATTGTACTGACAGTAAAAGGACAGCTTGCATAATTCAAGCAAGAAACACTAAAGGTATGAGGGAAAAACAAGTATAATGAAATAGACATGATGAGTGAGAAAGGATTTCTGGACATGAAAACTCTACACATGAAGGTCGTAACAATGGAGTAAGAACATATACAGTGAGAATATGATATAGAACAGAAAGGATAATGGGCTCAGTTTTGGTATTTTCCTTTTGTGGTAGACTCAGGACATTTTAATATGAGATTATCACATGAGTTTTTAGTACCTCTCCTGCAGGATCAAAAATCCATATTTTGTTCTTTGAGAGTCTTCTATTACTTCTTCACTCATTTTAATATGTATTTTCCTATGAAGCAGGAGCTGGAGGTAGATGATCAAAGAAAATGTGAATTTTGATGGTCCATTAGAATTAGAGTTATAGCAACATCAGGGATAATAATGTCCATCTTATCCTCATCTGCAGCTGTTAGTAAATCAATAAGCAGTGAAAGGCCTCCAAGGAGCCCATAGGTTCAGGCAAAGTAATGAGCTTGAAATCACTAGGTTCTGCCATGGTGAACTCTATTAAGCCCAATGAGTATCCATTTATTAATCTGTTCATGCATTTCACAAATGTTTATTTATAAGTTAACATAATCACTTTCCAAGTTTGTGTGATACACAAGAGAAGAAAAAAATCATTGCCTACTGGAAATGACATTCTGCTGACAAATAAATCAGGCAGAAGAGTTTATAATTTACTCTCTGGTTTTCTCCAGTCTACTCTCTGAAACTGAAATCCACTTGATTTGTACATCTGAGAGTTGCCCTGCTTCATTTCACTGTATCCAACTATCTATGTGTCAGGAGTGGAAGGGAACTGGACCCTTGATGATTAATTCAATTACTCATCCATCCATTAGCCAGTGATGGAGTATCATCCTCAACCACCAATCCTGCTCCTTCCACCATGCTTTTCTAACTAGAATTGGAACTGTGACAGTAAATTCATCAATTTGAGAAGCTAAAGGAAAATTGTACTTTAATATATAATGAGGGAATCAGGCTAACATACACACTCTCACACGCCAACATAGATGCATACACACACACACACACACACACACACGCATTTCCATGATATTTTCCCCTAAGAAAGCCTATATATTTATAATAGGGCCTACACACAACAAGCTAGCATACAAAAAGCTGGACTGAAGTTATCGGGATAGGAAAATCCTCCACCCAATAATAGTTAATCTTCAGACCTAATAAAAAAATTTAAATTACATTAAATCAAAATAGTAACATGTTAAAACTACCATATTTACTAATAAATGTAAGTCTTGAAAAAGAATAAAGGACATACCAAGGTATTCAAAATGTTTAAACCATTTATCAAACTCTATGGAATGTACAGCTCAAAAGGTGACCCTGACTGTTCGCTATGGACTTCAATTGAAAATAATGTGTCAGTATTTGTTCATTAGCTGTAACATGTTAGCACAAAGTGTTAAAGGAAACTATGGAGAGAAGGTAGAGTGAAAGAGGAACTCTGGGCTTTCTATTCAATTTTGCCAAAAACCTTGGGAGGCCAAAGGAGGAGGAAAATGACAGAATGATAGAAAGTGGATAATAATGAAATACATCACATCTGTGTAGGAACAAGACACAATGAAACATGCTGAAAACTACTGAACAACACAGAATAGAGGGTAGAGGGTAAGAAAGAATAATGGAGGGAGGATAGACTGACTTAAGTACAATATACTTGCAGGTAAAATACCAAGTCAAAAATCCCAATGAACAATGAACAGCACCTTTACAATAAAGACCAGAATATAAAATAGGTCATGTTAAGGGGAGGGTAATAATGGAGGGGAGGGTAAATGAAGAAAGTAAAGAAGGTGAATATGATTGATGTACTTCCTATAAATGTATAAATATGGAACTTTAAAACCTGCTGAGGTCACCACAAGAAGGTGAATGGGGAGAAGGGAGAATAATGGAGGGGATGAACCAATGCAGGGTGTTCTACATGTATGTATGTAAATGTCACAACGAAAACACCTGTATTACTATCGTAAACTGGCAAAAATGTTCATTTTTCATAAATGAACAGAAAGGCAAAACAGATCCTGTCCAGGGGTGCCCACCAATGGAAGGGGGAGGACAAAAATAAAGTGTGAAGGAGGGTGAAGTATTTGGTATTCACATATGTAAATAGAGCAATGAAACCTGTTGAAATTGCTCTAAGAAGGTGGGGAGAGGAGATAAAGGAGAAAGATAGATGGGGTGAATTTAATTAAGATATATTATAAGTACTTACATTAATGACACAATGTACCCTCTGTATAACTATAACATGCTAATAATCAAACACTTAAAAACATAAAATAAAGTCTGTTAATTTAAAAAAGGAATTAAGCACTGATCCATGCCACAACTTGTATGAATTTTGAAGACATTATGCTAAATAAAGGAAGCCAAGTATATTCTCTCTCTTCCCCTCTCTCTCACGCACTCATACAATACACACTTTCTTCTGGACAGTTCTTCAGGCAGCTTTAGACCGATCCAGTTGTCTCTCTCCACTTGCTTGTTTGCAGTTCTCAAGAATAACTATAGACCATACTAAGAATGCAACATCCCAAGATAAAGGAATTGCTAAAACAGCACAGGCCTTGTTCTGGGGAAATGTAACATCTTAAGTTAGAGAGGAGCAACCTGTGAGAGCCAGAGCTTTGCTCCCATCTGCTGTAGAAGCAGGATGTCCTTCAAATCTTTTTCCAGAGAGTCCCATGGCCATGAGATATATAACCCTGCTTGTCCCTCAGGTGTGGCAAACCTTGGATATACGCAGTCAAGACCCCATCCACCTTGGGCAGTTTTCTTCAGTTATGGGGGACTGGCTTAGAATGAATCAGAGACTTCTTTTTGTCTTTCACTGCCTATCTGTATACAATGAGCTTGCTTTGCATAACTTTTTGTGTGTGAGTGTGTCTATGTCACTGGACTCAGACAAATAGGGAACCAGAGCCTGGTGAACCTAAACAGTAGCGCTGATGTCGAGAGTGTAAGAATATGGGTTCCTACTTCTGGTAGGTAGCATAGCAATAATCTTTGCTGCTCTCCAGGCAATGGGAATCCTTTCTTGGGATTGGTAATTGGCATTTTATTATTCCATTTATATGAAATACCCAGAGTAGGAAAGTTTGCAGAGACAAAAAGCAGATCATTTGTTTCCAGTGATGGAAAAATGGGTAGTAATTGCTTACTGAGTATTGAGTTTTCTTGGAGATGATGACAGTTCTTGAACTATAGTGATGATGGTTGCATTATATTGTGAAGGCACTGAATCATGCACCTTAAAATGATGAAATGACAAATTCTATGTAATATGCTTTTTTACTACAATTAAAAAGATAAAATAAATGTATAAATACTTTTGAGAGAACAACGCATACTTTCAAATAGAAATTTATTAGCTCAGGAACAGAGAGAAATATAATAATCTAAAAGAGAAACTCCAGAGCACCATAGATAAGTGATCCTCAAAGGATAGTGACAACTCTGTGATATTTGCCATCCTCAAAAACAGCAGTGCCATTGGAGGGTGTTCCTCCCTTTTACTTCACGAGAGTTTAACACTCTTTCCAAAAACCTTTTGTTTTTATTTTCTTTCTTATTCTACATTCAGTTTCTCTTTCTTAACTCATTATGATTTTAATTTTTTACTCTGTTTCCCTTGTTGCTTACATTTATTTTATAATTATTAACTTTAAATTGTGTATTTTGCTCTAAAAATAAAATAGATGCTTTCAAATGCATGCGACATAATTAATTTTTCTCTTGGGTTAGAATTTCTAAAATGTTTCCTCACTCCATGACCTCCATTAACTTTTTGAAAAAGTCTGGAGTAAGGATTTTGGAACAATTCATATGATTTTTGAGATCACATTTTAGTGATCATATTTTTTTCTTTATATGAAGCTATATTCTAACTCACTGTTTTTTAACTTTATTTTTGTTTTCATGACTCCATGTACATGGGCAATTTAATTGTCATTATGTTAAAGAAACTGATCAGTTACTTGATCATTCCTTTCATTTCCTCCTCTAGGATAGGGAAATTGCATTTCCAACTGGATTATTATTTCCTATTAGATTATGAGCATGAGGCAGGATATCACAGAACCTGGAATAGAGTAAGTCTCTGAAAGGATTAGACATCAGGTCAGACTTGAAGCTGGAGTTAGGTTAAAGCACTTTTGACTTGGTATCTTTTTTTTTTCTTTTATTATTCATACATGCATATAAGGCTTGGGTCATTTCTCCCCCCTGACCCCACCCCCTCCCTTACCACCCACTCCACCCCCTCCCTCTCCCCCCACCCCCTCAATATCCAGCAGAAACTATTTTGCCCTTATTTCTAATTTTGTTGTAGAGAGAGTATAAGCCATAATAGGAAGGAACAAGGGTTTTTGCTGGTTGAGATAACGATAGCTATACAGGGCATTGACCTGGTATCTTGATGAGCATGTGAGCCCCCTTCAAGCAGTTGGTAAAAGAAATCTGGGACTCAAAATACCATGCTGGTTCCCAGAAGTCAAGATTGTTTGCACTGGAGATATTAATGCAGGAAAGATTTCCAGAGAACCTACAACAAAGGATCAAAGGATGAAGGGGGTGGGGAGAGTTTCAGAGAAGAAAGTTTGGGGGAAGGTGCAGAAAGGGAATTTGTTGGTCATGTTACAAGAGGAGAGGTGTCCACAGGCATAGTCAGGGGACTCTGACCTCAGGAACAGTAGGTTGGGAGAAGAAATGATGGCCATGTACTCATTTCTATGGCAACCCATTGCCCAAAACCCATTCTCAGGTGATACAGAGATGACTGCCTTCCACAAGACAGTCAGTTGTGTGCGGGGTCCATCCCATCCTCTCCTTGGCCTCCATTTCTCAGCATTAGTTCTCTTGTCCGGCTGCGTGAATATTCAGGAGTTGCATCCTTGTGCATCTCAGAAACAGCTGGGAGAAATGACCCAAACAATGTATGCACAGGTGAATAAATGAATAATTAAAAAAGAGCTGTATTAGGATCCATTGTCACAGTTACTGTAAAGAAAGAAATCCATTTCAATAGTGCATCAGTATTGAAAAGTGTTGACATCTAAACACTCAAACAGTTTTATGATGTAAGAAATTTAGAGTGGAGCTTTCTAAGGCATGCAAAATACATGATATTCAGCAAAGCAGTAATCACCAAGTAAGCCATAATACTTTTAAATATTTTCATGAAATATTCATGCAAACAGTCTCAGGAAGGTCTCAGCTCTAGGCCTTGACAACAGCATGGCATGCCACTAACTTTCTCTTTCTCTTTCTTAACTAGGTCACTGGGGAACAGGCAGCAAGGAATCAAGTTATTGTCTTTTAATTTTGTTGCTTCTCTATGCCAAGCATATAGAATGTAAATGCCAAGCTTATTCATCATTGAGCCTTGATTACATAGATGTAAACCAGGAACTCCGGTAGTTTACTAATTACTAAATATTCGTTGTATGCCTCCCATATGTGACCACTGAAAGGAGAGGCCAGGGAAAGTCTCATGGCAAAGTGTGCTCCACACTGGTTCTATAACCTAGCTTACCTTTCATATAGGTCTTCATCATCACAAGCAATTTGGCCATGACAAGAAGCAATCCCAGAACAGACAGTACAGACAGTATCTTCCACAAAATATTCGGCTTGGATTCTGGTTGGGTGGCAAAAGGATAAAATTTCCCAGGCAACAACCATGAAGATGGTGTTAGGGAAAATCAATTTTTGATCCAGTATAAAATTCACAATGAGGGACAAACAACCAAAATCCTATTACTGCTTTCATATCAGAGGAACAGAGTTTATGGGTATAGTGAAGTACAGTAAATTATTAGAAGTTAGCTCATACCCAAAAACAACTGTAACTTTAGGGCTCCATAAGAAATTCAGAGAAGTGGGATTCCTAGGTGTCATGAAAACCAGCTGTGCAAGAGACAGCAGGATTACTTTATCAAAGAGAAGAAAATGTGTTTTTTAAAAAGAGCATTATGATGAGTGAGTCTGAATTGGTCTTGGTACTTAATTCTCATACATGAGAGGAATGTATGGATCACCTACCTGAGAGAGAAAAAGCTGCTGTTTTCTCCTCTCCCAGAGGGAGGTTGCTGACAGAACAAATCACATTTGTCTCAGAGCTGTTTGCGACCAACAGGAAGGTCTCCACGTGGAACAGGCCATGGCTGCCTTGACTCAGGGCCTCAGAAAATGATAGCATTGTCTGTCCTTCCATGTCCTTCCACTGCACGTGGGGCCGTGGGAACCATCCATCTGAAGTGCACATCAGCTGGATTTTTTCATCCTTCTGCTCCTCCAGAGTGATCAGTGGTGAAGAACCCACAGCTGGGGAACAGAGACCAAAGAAATAAAGCCTGGAGCCTCTGCAATTCCTTGTATGGCCACCAAGTACACTGAGAGGAAGACATTTAACAGGGCTTGGGAAAACAACAAAGCTTTCAGAGCAATGACAATCCACTTGGAGATGAGACTGGCTGGAGTGTTTTCCTTCTTGTTCTGTTTGTTTATTTTTACTTTTTTATTCCTAAATCATTCTGGGACAAATTAATTGGTAAGATAACTTTTCAAATCTAATCTTTTGTTTCTGTCCCTGAGAACAAAATAACTTTGACCACACAGGGATCACATGGACAAGATGAAAGAAACTGACTAAAAGAATATTCTCAAAATCAAAATCATAAATAGCCATATCCAATGTCACAAAATGATAAGACCTATTTAACTTCTCAATCTGCATTCCTCTCACTATTTCTTGAATATGTTTATTAATTTAGACTGAAAATCTCTGAGAGAAATATGTACAATAGCCAAGATTTTGGCCTGCATCCTCAATGATATTTGCTAAGCTTGGAAAACCAATTCTAGAAGTGATTTTATCTTTCTTCCTCCATCCATGCCAATGTTGTCAATCTTTGTGAATTAGTTTAGTATTTGGATTATTATACTTCTACATAACTGCACATTTCCCAGAATTTTAATAATATAGTGTGAAATAATGAATCCTATGTAAAAATTTGGAGCAAAATTCTCAGATTTCTCTAAATATATGGTCACCTTGTGAAGATAATGATAGGGAAACACATTCTATACCCCCCAAATTAAATTGGTCCATCTGAGGACTGGAGTACAGTGTAACTCAACTGGTACAGTGCCTGCCTAGCAATGGTAAGCACTGTGTTCAAACTCTAGTATTGCAAAAAATAGATTAATTAATAGATAGATAGATAGATCAATCAATCTGAGTTTGTAGACTTGAAGTATCTATAATAGGTCTTCCATATTGGATGTCCAATATTAATTTGAAGGTGAATGAGCATCAAGAATATTTTGAAGTAAATAGATATTTTTCTAGGAATAAGCATGCTAAAGAGATAGGAAGGTATTGAGTCCAAAACATCAACCTATCACCCTTACCTATCACCTTCACATCCAGACTGGCCTCCTGGTAGACACCATCTTTTTCAAAAAGACACCAGTACTGCCCATCATCTGAAGTTCTGGCATTGTGTATCTGCAGGGTCAGTCTCCCCTCATGGATGGCATCACTTAGCAATGCAGTCCTCCCTCTGTATTCTGCCATCTGCTCTCCAGCCACATGGTCCCCATCCATATACACATAAACTGCAGGATACCAGTGGGATCGGATCCACCTCACCTCCATGCTCTGTGCATTAGTCTTGGGGGACAGGTTACAGGTTAATTGTATGTCTTCTCCCACTCTGGCAAGGGTGGGCTCTGAAGGTCCAATCACTTTTAAGAAAGCTGTTAAATATATCATACAAAATAATGAATGAATCAAAATGGAGGAAACAATGTCATCACCAAGAATATCTCTAGTGGGAATTGTGAGGGAGAATGAGACTTGAGGTCATCCCTTGGAGAATGCGGTCTCAAGGTAAAGGTTATCCTTGCTCATTTTATAGGTCAGTAATGAAATGATTTTTCAGAATAAAATGAATACTTTTTTTTAATCACTTTAAATCTGATTGACTTTACATTACTTCTGCCCACGCCTCAGTTTTTTAAACTATAAAATTGGCATATTACTGCCCAAATCAGAAGGTTGATGCAAGGTTAAACAAAATGACCTATATAAAACACTTAGATGACCATGTGTTGTGAGCAGAGGCCTAGACCTACGACACTTGATGGTGTCGGAGCCAACCACCCCCCTTCTATTTTGATCATGGGGATGAGGTTAAAAATGAGTGTCAGGTGGATTTTTAGTAACAAAAATTGAAAAGAAAAATAAAACCTTGCCACAAGTTAGTCTAAGTCAGGTCCAGCCATTGTATTTTTCCCCAAAGTTCCACATATGTGGAGAAACACTTTTAAGATCAAGAATTGGAGAGGCTGGCAAAGTGCAAAATGTGAGACAATGATGAATGTACAAAAGAAGTCTGACTCTACTGCTGTGGAGAGTGGAAAAGATTTTCTCTAGGGACTTTCCAGAACCTAAGCTATACACTTTCAGTTCTCATCAGAATCTGGACATATCAGTTTGCTGCATTCTAAATTGAGAGTCACCCTTTTCTATAAAGTGGTAAGAATGGTTTCACACATGTTGTGTGATTGTTTATAATAGAAATGCAGGCATGAAACTTCAGATTCTCTGCATAGTGTCAGTGCTCAGTATATCCCCATATATCATTAGCCAAAATCTGCTAGGAGCTTTCATAAAGAGGAAACTCACTATTGACACAATTTTAGGTTATTTCAGGTTATTGCCCTCTATCCTAACTAAAATTCTGCCATTTCCAGAATTTGCTTTGCTTTGCTCTTCAATTTAACCAAAAACAATATCTCCAATATGTGACTGTGAAACTCTAAAGATAAGGGAAGTAATTTTTTAAAAGTGAGCAAGGAATCACTTTGCTATTTGTCCATCCACATCTTAATGTACATTGCTCAACAAAACAGACAGCTTCCTCATCTCCATTACCCATGTGGGTTTTTCCCGTCTCTGACCTGTGGCACATATTGAATTTCAGACTGGCTTCTCTGCTAGTCTCAGATCACCAAGGGCTAAAATTGACTCTAATGGGGACTAAAGGAAGCAAAATACAGGTATGAATATTTAGTTAATTAGATGCTTTGTAGATTTGTAAAACTCCCTATTTTTCCAGTATCCAAATATAAATGGTTTAAAGTGCTAGATAAATTGTGCTGCCTGTTTAATATTAGTGCTGTTCCACCAGAAGACAAGTCCCAGACAGCAGCCCTGCATAACTGTCTTTTTCTACAGTTTAGTATTCAGCCTTCTGCACAATTCCTACCCAAACTTACTTTATTTTGTTTTTTGAGTATTGGAAATGTGTTTTTGAAATGCCTTGCATGTCCATGGAAAAATAAAATTTCTTTGGGATGTGAAGTACACCAAATTATGCAATAATTCCTTGAAAGCTGATAATCTTAACATCATACAATCCAATCTCCTTTCATTCAACATGTTTAATTAAGTGGGATTTCTCATTCCTCATGTAGGCTGAATTATGTTACACCTAGTCTCTTAGGACTGGAAAGTATATTAGACATTAAATTAAACTTGTTCATTTTAAAGATGACAATAATATTTTTAATTTTCTTTCTCTCTTTTTTTTTTTTTGGTGGTACTGGGGCTTCAACTCAGGGCTTTAAAGTTGCTAGATAGGTGCTCTACCACTTGAGCTACTCTGTCAGGCTTAAAGATGAGAATAACAAAGACTACTGAGTTTACAAAATCACACATAAGTAACTAAAAGCTTGCACTCTTAAACTGGGTAAACATGGATTACATGGTAAATACTGCAGTTTATATCAGCAGATCACGTCTCTAAGTCTTATCTATAAAATGAAGGTTAAATCTATTAACCCTTATAACTATTGTAAGAAAATATGAAGTAATTCCTGCAAAGTACTTAAAGCCTGGGAATATAATTAACATTTTAGCAACTAGTCATTGTTTTTAAAAACTAATAAAATTATTTGCCAGAATATAAACTTTGGGAAGTAATTGCATTATTGAGACTTGGGTGGCCCGTCATGTGGGTCCTTCCTCTGATTGTCTAATTCTGAGGATGACACAGAGGTGGCTGTAGAGTTCCTGGACCCTGCAATCACTGCAGCACAATCAAAGCTCCTGGAGGCACAGCTCCACTCCCCACCTAACAGGAAGCAAAGAGAGGCACTGTCTTTCCATCTTGTCTTACCGTGTTTTCAGAAGGACACCACAATTTAAGAACAACTCAACATGGGATTGCATCTTGCATACTCAGTTACCAATGGACATTTAGAGTGGTTTGGGGGAGTCAGAGGAGTAACTCTTTGATTAAATTTTTCCTGAAGGACAGAGACTTGTGTTGGCCTGCCCCAAGTGCTGGCTTAGTTTCCTGAAACAAGCTCTGTCAGGTAAGGTTTCTGTGGGATCAGGTACATTGGCCGCCCCAGGCAGAAACAGATTCTACTGAAAGGGCAAGGCTCCCAGGTGTGAGTGCCTCCTAAGGCTGTGGAACTACCTTTAACCTTCTAGAGGCTCTTCTCTTCATATTTACAGCTTAATAGGGTCAAAGGTGTCAATCTACATTTTGCCAAAGACTGTAATGTATCTGTTACACTGATTTTCCTCAAAAGCTCCTACATGGGTAAAAGGTATACTTAAACTCTCCTACCATTCATAAGTTCACCTCTTCACCATATTCCTCTAAGAGGAGACTGAATGGATGGCAATGTATTGATGGAGGAGGAAATGAGAGGTCTAAGACAAGGAACATCAGAGCAGAGAGGAGGCTGGCTGCCACAGGCTGGGAGAGAAGGTCAGAAAAACAAGGCAGAAGGAAGTAAAGGACAAACTCAGAGGCTCCAACACCAGTTGGTTAATTTTTAAACCACTTATCTTAGACATAGTAAAATAATATCTGCAACCCAACTAGATAGTGAAATAAAAATTTAAAAATGCAAAAAGAATGAGAACATTATCACTGCAGTGGCAGAATCCCAGGCTGCATACAGTAAAGAAACAGTTTCCTCCTAATAGCGAGGAGGTTAGGAGCCTTTTGGGGTAAAAACAGGTGCACAGAGAGGGACTAGAGGTGGAGATAATGATACTACTCTCATTTACACTAGGATGTTTTAAAAGGCCTCCAAAGCTAGCCACCTGTCCCATGCCATCCCCCACACAGCCCAGAGGCAGTTCTTTCCTCTTGTCATACAGAGCAGAGATGATGCCCATTCCCTTAATAAGTACCCATCTGAGGCTCAATGGAATCTCCATGACCCCCAAAGTAGCAGGTTACACTCTGGAAAAGTCCTGGACGGAGACCGTGGTAGTCTGAGCTTTGCCATTTCCCTCTCACACTAACCTAATGTACACTTGGAAAAGTCCTGGACGGAGACCGTGGTAGTCTGAGCCACAGTACACTTGGAAAAGTCCTGCCTTGTTTCTTATCAGGATTGGGAAGTGTGTAGGCAGATCCATATACTCTGCCCTCCTCTGAGGAGAGGGCATGCCAGTGCATCCTACTCACCCAGTTCTGCCTGGAGTTTCTCTGGAAAAAGAACAAGAATAACATATTAAGGAATTTGGTCTAAAAGAAAGAAACTATTTCCAAAAATAAAAGCAAGCTCTACATTTTATTAATGAACTCAATTTGTTTAAAAAAAATACAAAATGCAGAAAAATAGTGATACTTTCCCATGGATAATCTGATGATCCAGCTTTCTGTACCACAAGAATGCTGTCAATTTTACCTCCCAATAATTCTGCTTGTTTCTGCTAGTATTTAGCTATCAGTTAAAAAAGAATGCATATTCTTTTTTGTCAATGTATGAATGTATGAAATGTATAAACATAAACAGCTATTACAATTCCAAACTGAGAGTACATAACTTAGTTTCTTTTTAACATTACTATATAAAACTGACTTTTACCTTTTCAATGTAATCATTTATATGAATAATATTATATCCAAATGTAGAGTCCCAAAAGTCTTAGTCCATTTGAAAGTTATTTAAAGACAATAACTTTACATGATTATAAATGTCTATTTGTAGATTGAGAGACAGATAGATCTTTTCATTGAAATATCATGAGGATGTTATCAGTTCTTAAAATTGTTCAAAAATTAGTTTTATAAAAACTAATTTTTAGTGAAATAAGAAACTCAACACTTCACTATTATGTTGGGATCTTGGTTATTGTTTTTGTTGGGTTTTATAAATGATATTATAATTAACATGCTATTATGTAAATTATTCTTTCCATTTCTGTTTATCATCATATGATACAGTCCTAGAAGTAATTGGTACAACAAAGCACAGTAAAACATTTCAGTTGAAAGAATATTTTTATTATTTGTATAGTACAATTAATCTCTGTGAATTAAACATCAAGGCAGAAAGAAGAAACGATAAAACTTGAAAATAAAGTGCCACTAATAGCCTTTCAATCAAAATGCAGTGTATATATTTCTAGTCATAAATATTTGATGGATTTTAATAGATGTTGTTAAATGTTAGTATTTTCACTAACAAAAATAGAAGTTGCTGTTGCACAGTCCTTGAAACCTTTCCTCATGACCTGAGCACCAGGTTCTAGAAGAAGAATACTGACCTGAGAAGGTGATCACTGCCTCCTTTCCCTCATCAAGGACAGGGTTGTAGATATAGCAGGACACGGTCTCTACAGAGGAATTCCTGACCACAAGTTTGTCTTCCACATAGAACATCCCATCTTCATCTGGGATGTGATGTTCAGAGACAGTCAACAACTTCTCTCCCAAGATGTCTTCCCAATAGACCTGGGGCTCTGGGAACCAGCCCTTTGCAGTGCACACAAACTGGACTCCATCTTCCCTAGACGCCTCCATGTGGATGTTAGGGGCAGACCCCACACCTGCAGGGGGAAAGCACATCCCTAAGCCCAGAACCCTCAGCAGTAAAGGCCAAGAAAACCAAGATCCAAGGGATGAAGCTCAGAGGGGGAAGGTGGGAGCTCAGGGTTCTGAGGAACAGAAAGCATTCCAAAGTTTCATCCCATTGAAACTGGAATTCTGATACATTTTATTTGTTCCCATTCTATTAATTTTATATTTTAGTATTTAGTTTTTAGTATGGGGAAATAAAGAAACAGGAAACATAATGTTTTGTTTGTGTGCCTAGTAATGCAAACAAAGGTGCTGTAATTTATTTATAAACTCATTTATGACGCAAGCTCTGCCTTTTCTTCTTTTATTGTCTGTATCAGGCACTTTGACATTTTGGATGATATCTGTACACCAATTTAAACAAAATATTTAATATAAAGTCAGAAATCACCTCCATGGGACTATTATTCCCATTTTTTGTTGGAGGATATGATTTTGGGATTCTGTAGATAAGCTGCATGAAGACTTATTCAACATAAGTATTTCATTCAATGGAGAAAACATTTTTTAGAATTCCTAGTTATGCTTTTTTGTAGAAGTTTATATTATGAAATTATTTCTTTATTCAATGCTAAAACTCCCAATCCCAAAAGGAACTGTATTTTCTATATGTGATAATTCTCTTTATCACTTGCTAAGGAAAAAGACCAAGCCCTTTTCCTGAAGTCATAGAAAAATTTCAGCTTAATTTTAAATGTCCCTAACCCTTAAAACATTGGTATGAATCCCCCCCAACCTACAGCTCGTGGGTTCTTTCATCCAATTTGAATGAACACATTAACAGTAACAACATAGCCACATGTGTGAAGAAGATGCTGGGAGTGAAGAAACAAGCAGCATCAGCCAGCAATGTTAACATCTCCAGTGTGGAAAGTGTATTTGCCTGATTTTCTCTTTAGCATGTGGAAGAGTTGTTTCTTTCAGGAACCACTTGATAGCTCACTTTTCAGATTTTTTCCAATAACACAGACCCATCCTTCAGTTCTTTCCTTGTTCCTTGCTCTTTCCTGCTTTGCTAGTACGAAAGCTTTTTGCAGACCCTTGCCATTCACAGTGGGTGCTTCCAGAAGCACCCATGGATCTCTGATTCATTGAACAAAGTATATAATTATTTCCATAACAGCATACATTCCTAATTTCTTGAACCTCATTGTTAGGTTTCTAGCAAGGCCATTACATAAACAAAGTTTCACATCTCAGTTACTGCATAAATGAAGTTGGCAGAGAACAACAAATTCCACTCAGATTGATTACTGGACAGTCAGCTGGGCTCATTCACTCAGCAACCAAGTTGTTCTTCTACACTAGCCTTATGTGACACAAATTTGTGTCCCAGAAAAATTGCTAATGACTACCTATCATGGCTTTCAAGTAATCCTTAAGGACACTCAAAATCATGCAAGTTAAACATTGGAACATATTTTATAAGTGGTCTTGCTTTGAAGATTCCAGAACAACTGTTTTCAAATGACTCAGGGTAGAAGACTGGGCATTAGGAATTGCATTGATAATCAAAAGGGAATTCTTCAACTGACAAGAAGCTTACCACAAATTAGTTTACTTGTCTCTCTGAGACCCCATGCCCCTGCCCAGATATTCACCTGCTACTTTGAGCTGCAAACTTGTCTCTGCACAATAGCTCCCCTTCTGGAAATGGCACCAGTATTGTCCATTGTCAGATGGTTGGACATCGTGTATCTTAAGAGTCACAATTCCCTCAGCAGTGCTGTTTTCTATTCTTTCCATCCGGCCTCTATACTCCTCTATCAGTATCTCAGTCTTCTCAGATCTGTCCCAGTGTGAGGTCACAGGGGTGCTGGGCTTCAAGCGGTACCATGTCACCTCCATGTGCATCATGGTCCTCTTGGAGACAAGTTGACAGGTTAGTAGAGCATCTTCACCAACCTTGGCCAGGATAGGATTTGCAGGACCAATCACTCTAAAGTCATCTGCAAAGCAGTGAAAAAGAAGTACAGTAAATGCCAACAGAGGATAATTATGCTTGCTTCAGAGTGACCAGCCTCTTAGAATGGAGGCACCTAGAGAAGGGAGAGCTTTATTTTCAATGTCTTAGAGAAATCCAGCACTGTGATTTGCAAATTTTCTTGTTAAAGAAAATTTAACAAAATTTAATAAATAAAAGCAGTTCAAAATTTTGAATATGAATGCCTAATCTGTCACCAGCTTTGTGATTTGGGGCAAGTCCATTATTCTTAATGAGATCTTAAGACTTGGAATCCTAAATTCTTCATCTTTAAGATATTGATATCACCATCTCTGGAGTACTCTTATTCTCAAGTAAGTTAATAGAAAATTGATTTTAGTTGGGAACTTTGTAATTCATAGTGATAAACATTTTAGTCATTTTCCTAAAATTTGGTGATGGTAAATTTTTTCATTAGAGTTTTTAGTTTTGCAAAATCCTCTTCTAGATAAGAAAGAGAGTTTTTTTTCTCTAGAGAAGGCAAGACTGCAATTACTGACATTATGTAGAATGCAATTTTCACAAGGACTTTTTATGATGAATTAAGGGAGGCAGTTTGTCTAGAAAGTTTTATTCTTTCTCATTCTAATGCTCCAGGGCCACTTGTCCTTCTTTATGCATATTTCAGTCCTCCTGAGATAGAATCTCACCTTGCTTAGTTGCTGCTCAATATAAAAATAGATGCTGCTCAAAAAAGCCTCTATGTAACTTAAATAGAGATATTTTGTATCTTTAACTGATGAAATCTAAATATGAAGTCATACCCTCTTGTTCACTTCTTTTATAGGTCAGAAAACGGTGAAGAGGGGACAACAGCCTCACCTCATCACACAACTTCCACAGCACTGAATCCAGAACTGGTGTTACATTTTTCCCTAAAGCCCTGTCCAGTGTTTTTCCTATTTCATCAAGATATGTTTTCCTTGGACTTCTGACATTTTCCTCCCACACTGCACTTTCATAATTCTTTTTCAAGGCACAATATTTTGACTAATAACACTCAGCTACTGAGATTTCCAAGTTCTTATCTTGAAAGTCTCCTTGTAGTTTCATATTTCCAAATATTTTATGCCACTTACTACATGAATGAAGCAGCTGCTTTTCTTGCTCCCCAAGCTCTATCCTGCATGGAAGCAAGAGAATAAAATAATAACATGCTCCAGCAATTGATTCAAGTGCTTTCAGTGTATATCTTATTGACTCCTGAAACCTGTGCTAGCCTATGAGGCATAGGTACCATTGTTCTTCTCATAAAGTTGAAGAAACTAAGCCCTTAGGTGCGCAAGCAACTTTTCAGTGATGACAAAGCTCTTTTTGAAACACAGATCCTTTGAGCTATAGGCCTGTACTCTTAAGTACTATACTAGTCCTTTTGAGTTTAGTACTATGCATCTAGGCTATATCAGTAGAACATTAAAAAGAAGGGAATCCTACCTGATTGCTTCATGGTCAGCAGGATGAAGAAGAAGGAGGCAATCATACCAGACACACTGTACCCTGGAATAATATCCAACATTCTCCCTGGAACAAACACGGGAGAATATATGACTATGCCTCAGCAAGGCTATGATATAGCCAGCATGTTTCATGATTTCTAGTGGCAATGGAATCTTAATGAGGAATCAACATCAACCCCTTCGCAATTGAACTGTGAAATGGTGGGGCTCCATTTCCTTATAGTTATTGACCACAACTGACCCCCTCCCTGAAGTGTTCTACTTTAAGCTGTTCCTTAGGCCTGAATAGGAAGCTTTGTGATTGAAATAAAAAGTATTCCTGAGGTAAAGAGATAATTTTATATAAAAAAAGAAAAACTCCTTAGGTCCATCTGTGATCATGCAGAAATTTATATAGCAGAATTCAAATATTTTTTCTTTGTCTTTCTCTGCCCTTTCCTGCAAAGACTGTCATCACTACAGTTTCCAGATGCGGTGGACAGAGTCATAAGGCTCTGTGTCCCCACTCTGCCACTAGGAAGCCAACATTTGCTGCCATCATCAGAGAACCCAGAAGAATTGGTACCTTGGAGAGTGAAAGAAAGAGCCTTAGAAATAGTACTTATCACAGAGGATGGTCAGGGAAATGACCATTTAGAATAGACTTGAAGACACAAGGAATGAATAAAATAGCCTTACTGAAAGAGATCAAGCTCATTGTAACAGTGTAATAAAAACACTGATGAACAGCTAAAAGTTTTAAGTTTACCAAGATAAAGAAAGCCTTATGTAGAAAATGGAAAATTCAGAGTAGAAGGCTTCCTATATTGAAGACTTCCTATATTGGATGTGTCAAGTATTTTATTGAAAGAAAAGCTTGGTTCACACTCAAAAGAACCAGTTCTGGGTCAATGTTGAGTCTCATACTACTTTCATTTTCTCAGAAACTACACTGGTAAGATTTTCTGGGGCTGGGAACTGGAATTAACAGTCTGAAAGAGAAATTATGAATGAGTGATTTAGGAGATTATTACTCTAATATTACTCTAGTTGCTTTTCAAAAAAAAGTATACCTTCAGGGGCTGAGGAATGGCCCAAGTAGTAGAGTACCTGCCTAGAAAACACGAGGCCCTGAGTTAAAATGTGTAGTTTAAATGCCAAAAATGTGTAGCTTCATCTAAGACATTTCTAAGAAAACTATGAATGTAAATAAATACCTAGATCTAAAAGAGCACTAAAATATCTGTGTGGAAATTAGACTTAGTACTATAAGACAGCATAGACTGTTGGTAGTGTGCCTCTTGAAAATTACTGTTCACCTCTCCTTAGGATGAAGGATATGGCTGATATTTACTTGATTTCTTTTGTGAAAAGAAGAAATATTTTTCCACCAAGTAAGAGCAAGAATGACTTACAAAGCCTACATCAAGCACTGTCCTCAGTTCTATGAATCAAGAAGAGCCCACTCTTACCACATATCACTTTAGAGGCCTATGTTCCATTAGGACTTTTATGTTAAAGGAAGGAGGGAAAGCCTGCAAATGCACTTTAGAGAAAAAATATTGTTCAAATCAAGGAAACTTTTGAAGAAATGTGTGAGAGTGCATCATAATCTTCTCTGGTGCTCAGGGGTAGATTTTGGAGAGAAAAATCAAAGGCAGAGAAACTGCCTGCGAACAGGATTCTCAATGGGGGAAGAAGTGCCTAAAGTGTGAAGCTTCTCGAATGCTTTGCCTTTAGAAGGCATTGGGCAATGTCTGGAGACATCTTTGGTTGTCACACTGGGCAGAGGGGACATAAAATGAGTGGAATCCAGGGATGCTACGAAATACTCTATAATGCACAGGACAGGCCCCCTGGCAAAGTTTCTCCAGCCCAGCATCAGCAATGCCAAGGGAAAACCCTGCCATGGACCATGCAGGACATGCTGAACATCCTTGGTACATTTTTTGGTAGATAAGTAACTGGACTTAACTTTGCAAACTTTAAATAAAAAGAATTTAATTGCAAACTTTTGACATCTCTATTTTTCCACTAAATGTAGATCAAAGATCTTCTGAAACGGTTGATATTAAATATGGTAAACTTTGGTATCATCCTGATATATGATCTGAAATTAATATGTATCATTGAATTCTCAAAATTTTTATATTTAATTTAATTTTCTGCATAAAACACAATTAAGATGTGATGGTAAGTGGTATCTTGTGTCTAAGCATCAGGTAGACATCAATCGCAAATTCTGAGATCTATGCCCACACTACTCAGACTCACATTAAAGAACATCATAAATTACACAGACCAGGGGTCTTAGAATTCTTCCCAGTAAAGAGTTGTGAATGTTAAACCTGAAAATGTTAAGTAACCATAATATTTGGTTTGCTTAAATTTTTAAATTAACTGTTAAAAACAAATTAATTCATTTCACAAAGTTTAAAGTTTATATGCCTACATAAACTTTAAAAACAGCTACAGTTTGTCATATGTTAAAACATAACATATTTATAGAGAGAAAGCAAGATAAAATAAGAGTTCTAGTAGCAGAGAGACCTCGTTTCTATTTTTGTGACATCTCACTTTACCTCTACTTCCTCTCCTCTCTAATGGTGACAATCATTCCTAACATTTTTCTAGGTATAGCATCACCATGGCACACAAGCCCCAATCATACATAAGAAAGGAATAACACGATCTTGATTTTCTGATTTCTAAATAGTGCCCTTCCATACCCAGTCTGTACCACAGAAACATGGTGAGGATCAAGTGAGCTATAATAACATTTTGAAAAATATGCAGCAGGAGATCAATAAGAAATGCAAACCAGACAGCCATTATAACAGATGGCAGAGTTTCTCAACAGAACACTGACCCTGCCTCTGCGCCCACTTCCTTATCTTAATGGACTTCCTCAAACTCCTATAGCCATCCTTCATCAAGCTCTTTCCAAGCCACTCGCGAGTCCCTCTCTCCTGACTGCTGGGTCTTCTTACTTGGTGTCAGTTGTATCTTTCATCCACATAGCAGGTGTCCAAAGACAGGTCAGAGCCCAAGAGTTCACTGGTTGGAGACAGAATTATGGGACAACCTGAGAGGGTGGAGGTGGCTCCCTGGAGCTTTGGGTGAAGGGAGGCTTTAATGCTGCAAAGCTGGAGGCAGAGCCAAACCCGAGGATGACTCTGAAAATGAGACTCCAATCAGAATGGCACATTCACCTCCTACCAGAGGCAGTACTCTCAAAAGTGAAACTCAGAGGATGAGTGGACTTTGACTGGGTTCCATTGTGAGTTCTTTAGACCTACAGACACAGTGGTCACTCCTCAGCTTCCCAAGAAAGAAAGCCAGGGACTCATGCTGGGTCCCCTTTCATCCCCCACCTGCACCATCACTAAAGTCTCATGTAGATCTGCCATCGGACAGCACCTCATGTCTTGCCTGTCTTCACCCTGCCCTCCAGATTGTGGCACAAAGACTTCCCCAACCAAGGCCAAGTTTCCTCCAGGAAAGGTGGCCATGGGTTTCAGAGTTGGAACCAAGACTTTCCATCAAGTATCCTACCCCTCATTCTACAGATGAGAAAATAGAGTCCCAGGAAGAGGGAGAGTCTTCCAGATCAGAGCACCAGGTCAAGGTCCCTCGTGCTCTATTTTATTGCTCTCTTTATTTTGGTTCTTTATCTTCCTTTGCTGGATAGTAAATGGTTTAATTACTCTCAGGTACTTACCAGAGAAATTTGGTAAGCTTCTCAACATAAAGTTTGGGTATAAAGAATATGACTGATTACAGAGGTTCTTGGCACCATTGTTGCATGATCTTGTTGCAGCCATATTTCCATCATGTTCACCTTCAGCCTGTTTTTCTTAAATGTGAGGAGTCTACAAATACATTCTCAAAATCCTCCAGAAGAATGTTGAACTTAATTTAAGATTTCTATTTCCATGTAATAGCTTAACATATGTAGCATTATGACTTGGTTTCAGCTGATTTTTCTGGAAGTTTCTTCCCCTTCCTTGTTATCAACAACCCATGTTTAGACCACCTAAAATAAGGTTACTGTTCTCAATGTGAGAATTCCTCCTTCCTTTTTGGGTCTAGATGAAGACCAACCTCACTGTGTAGAGGACAATAAAATAACTAAGGGTGGATATGGGTAAGGGGGTCTCTTCCACTTGTCTCTTCTTCAGTTAGAATAACAGAGTCTGTTCCCTACTTGGCCTCTGGGTCCCAGATGGCTGTGGTGCCCACAGACTCCCCTCACCTGTAATGATACTGAAGAGAAGCAGCAAAGAGGATGTTCCCTGAGACAAGAAGATGTAGTACCTAAGAGACCCAAGTGTTGGAATAAAATCTTGCTGCCTGAATGCTGGCATCAAAAGTGTGTGGTGTCACAGACATAACAGCCATTTTCACCAATATTTGGAGGATAGTGATGACCATGGGCCACAATGTGACTATGACATGCAGTGTGAGTCAGAGCTGGAAATATGAGGAAGGCCTTCTGCACCAACCCCACACCACCTCCTGCCCCATAACTTAGAAATAACACTGGTTGGGTGCATGTGTAGTGGTGGGGAATGTTTTAAAATTAGTGTCCTGAAAATTACTGAGTTTATTTGGAAATTGCCAGATTACCTGCTTGGCTATGACACAAACTAGTTTTGACATAAAAAATTAGAATAAGCAATAGGAAAATAAAAAAATTAGTTTTTCTGCAGCTGAATTTGTAATGTGAAAGCAGAGTGGCTATGGCACACCTTCTGCATCATCTTGATATACAATGCTAAGACTCTTCTTGGAGTCTTAGTATCTATCTTTGAATTTTTACTTTGTGACCAACTCACTGCTTAAAGAAGCTTTGTTTAAACTTGTTTATATCTTTCCTCACAAGCTATTTACATAAACTTTAGAGGTCCATCAGTTTTGAAATAAGAACTATGTCTTAAATTATGTTATTATTACGGATGGAAATTTTGTGCAGGGAAATTGTTAGTATATGGAAGAGAAAAAGATGACACAATCTCTTTGTCATTCTGATTAGGGTCCATGTTTGGGAGAGGCAGGACATATACAGCACTGAAGTAAC